TGTTTGCAAGGAACCTCTTGGCTTCATTATAAATTGAAACAGGAGCTTTCAGAAAAGTGGGGTTTCTGAAGCTGGATTTAGGGTCCATGGCAATCTGTGTGTGTGGGGGGGGGGGGAGGGGGGGTCATGCCTGTGGCCACTGTCTGAATAAATTAGGCTTTGCTTGTTGGGAACTCTCCTGAGCTGAGGGCTAGCCTGCTCTCTGCCCCCTACAACTTGGTGGGGTGAGCACTCTGACAAGATCTCTGGATCCCTTTTCTCCCTCCCCCCAGAGCTCCCTGCTTGCTGAGGAATGACTGCCCTTGCAGAATGTACTCCGCCTGGCCAGCTTTATTACATGGCCACCATCAATCTTGCCCCTAAAGTGACATTTGTTTATGACTGGGTGGGAAGGGCTAATGGCTTCATGCACCAGCTCTGAAATGAGTCTAGAGGAGTCTAAAGAGAACACCCTGCGACACCAGACAGGATCCAGTGGTGGGAATTGGTCTCAGACGGAAATGGGATCCCTCCCCAGGAACTCTGAGACGTGGTGTGGAGGTAGAAAGCAACTGTCACTTCAACCAGCCTTGCTTCAGGTGCCACTAACAGTGAGGGAGACCACTGGTATCCAAAGCCTGGAGCCCCTGTGGAGGCCTCTGGGCCCTCTTGGACCCTCTGTCCAAGCAGCCTGAACCAGTAGAGAGGTCAGGACCTCTGTGGGGTTTTGCACCATTAAGAACAAAACAAATGGCCTTCCACCTTAAAAACTGACACTCCTCTCTGGGGAGCTAAGTGGGAGAGAAAAAGTCTTATGTCCCTTCTTTACCTATCAAAGTTCAGGGGAGCCCAGCAGGGCTATAAGGCATTCTTATTTCCTGACCCCTGTTTCTGACCCCACAGGAAACAACCAAGAGCTTATGGGCCATCAGTACAATTGAGCCTTATTCCTCTGCAAACATTGATTATTAATGACACAAACTGTGTGGAATGATAAATAGTAAAATGCATGCTTGTTTGCATGCAATCTGATGAAGAAAGGACGGCTAACTACACAACTTTGGAAACAGCAAGCATTTCTACCAGACGTGCAAATGCCAAATGCAAGCTTTCAGATGCACATACCATGCTGGCATTTGCCAAGAAAATAAATGTGTCCAGTGCTACATAAGTGACAACATGCTACCCTAAAGCCATCTACAGAGGCTAATTTTGAAATTAGCCAAGTCCCCATTGTTGGGTCCTGTTCATTCCATGTTGCCAGCTAATTTCAAAATGTACTATTTGTTAGTTTAAATATCAAGGAGTTTTCTTCTAATAGTTTACAGGAAAAAATATCCTTATTGCTGAAAAAGTACAGATCAGATGTGCAAACCACTAAGGAATCAGTAGTTCTTCCAGATTAAATAAGGCTGGCAGGAGTTGGTTTTTCTTAAATGAGACATAAGAATTCAAGTGCAAATATAGTGATAGTAGAAACCATTACATTGTGGTTTCAAAAGTCAGAATAATGAGTAGAACGTTTGACCTTCCACTCAAACATAGCAATTCCTGTAGAAATAACTACCTTTGCTATATAGGTGTGACACAAACACCTTCCTGGACACGTATGTCTTCATGCCTAATTTTCAAACGCTGGAAACCAAAAAGGCAAAACTGATTGTTAAAACGCCTTCCCCATGCAAGCACTTAAACGCTGCCCAGGGGCTCCTCTTGGTCCACTAATGCCACAATACTCCTACCGATTCCCTCTCCAGCCACAGGGACTGGAGACCCAGAAAGGAGGAGCAAGGGGCTACCGAAGCCCACTCCACATCCTGGCGGGACCAGGAAGAACTCACCCAGCGCTCCCACTCCAGCTCAGGCCACCAGCGCTCCCTGGGGCGCCAGGGCCGACCTTTCCCGGCGCGCCCGCTTCTGTGTCCCGTGACCCCTGGCTCTGGGCAGCAGGGTCAGGCTGGATTTAGGCCAGGGGCTGACTGCAGCCGCGATGCCCTGGGGCCACAAACACCAGGTCGCGGCTGCAGAGGGTCGCGGGCACTCGAAACCCGGGGCCCGCTCGCACGTCTCTCAACGTTTCGGCTAAGCGACTCCCTCGCCTGCCGAAGTGATTTGGGGCCTCCGTTAACTGCCTTCACGCTCCGAGGGGACGCAGCCCTGCCGGGGAGGCTCGCCTGGAGCCCCAGCGCTGAATCCGGCAGGTCGGCGCGTCCAGGCCGAGGATCTCCTGCAAACCCGTGGCTGCCCAGTTTGCGGGCTGGCGCGGGGTGCCCTGTCTCGGGGAGCCACGGAGTGCCTGTGACCTTCCCACCCTGGATGAGCTCCCAAACACACGTGTGTCTTCAAAACAAAGGCGGCGAGCAGTGTACACGGGAAGCGCTGTGTCCGGGTGGCGAGAGGTTGAGGAGCAGAACCCGCTGCCTTCCCGCGGCTCCCCAGCCGGGCGACGAGGGCCGTGCGCTCCACACACACCCCTGCCCGGTGCCACCGTCCCCCAGCGTGGTCTTCCCGGCACCCACGCTCCCACCCGTCCACCCAGCCGAGGACTTCGTGGGCTCTATTTTCTCCCCAAACAGCAGGTTTCAGGAGGAGGCAGTGAGGAGCCAGGGAAGGGGCGGGGCGGGGGCGAGGTGGGGAGAGGAAGGAGCTCCAAACACAAACAAGCGGGCCCGGGCCGCGGCGGGTAATTACACTAATTAGCCGAAGGGCCTGCAGTGGGGAGCGGCGTCCGCAGGCCGGCGTCAGGCCGCGACAGACGCCCCTCGGAGGGCCCGCGGAGAGCCGCAGGCCTCCACTCGCCGTCCCCGTTCCAAAAAGTTGAACCAGGCACGTCTCCGGCTGTTAGAACTGCCCGGGCTGGGGATGGGTCACCCGGTCATAAGGGACGGGTGACCGTTCGGTCACCTGCTGCCGCTTTCCTTCCGGGCCTGGACAGCCCAGCTCCGGCCACCAGACCCTTTGTCCTCAAACCCCGGCTCCACGCTCGGCTCGCCAAAGTGGACCAACGCACAAACTCTACGAGCTTTGTCAATGGGTTCTTTCCCTTCACCATCCAGCAAAGCGGGGTACCCGAGGGAGCTCGTGGCAGCCCTAGGACCGAGCGCTGCGCTGGCCGCGCATAGGCTCACAAACAGCAGCGGGGCCAGCCCCAGCCAACCTGACCAAGGAGACACCGTGCCCTGCGCCGCAGCAACCTTCCCTGGCTATTAAGTTACGGCTCTGAGCAAAAAAGACCCGAGTAAATCAGAGGCCACATAAAGCACTTTTTGACTGAAATTAGAGTGTTTTTATTTGCAGCAATCCTTTAACAATGATCAAATTTTGACAACAAGCAACAGCAATTACTGCTAAGTGTTGCCTCTAGATAGGAGCGGCAGATAGCAGGAAACTGTATTATCTCGAAAACAAACTGAAAGGCCCTGAATGTCTGTAATCAAATCACCATCTCCCTAAAGTCTGATTGACAGGGCTGATCACCCTGAGATAATGAATTTATTACATTTCCTGGGTTATTTACAAAGGGGGAGGGCCAATCCAATCGCCCCCTACGTTTAACTGTAAATTAGCAAGAAAAATTGGATTGAAATAAAAACAACACCCTAGACTAAAATACTCTGCCCCTCTCTCCTTTCTTGTTATTGCTTTAAAACTTTTTCAAAAAATAATTGCTCTACAAACATATCTTCTAAAATAGTTTCCCAAAGATTAAATTCCCCTTTCCAACACACAGTACATTTTAAAAAAACTAATCCTTCTTCATAACACATGGAGGATTGTAAATGTGGATGTCTTATATACATACATTTAAAAATGGTTTATTTTTCCTCTAATAAATGAGTGAAAAATTGGAAAAAATCTATCCTGCATTTGGTTCACAGGGATGTATAATACACATCCTAATTTTTTATGTGCTACACAAGCCAAATATGTATGTGTCTATCCAGAGGCACATTCACCTCTCTGGACACACAGGTATCACTGTGGAAAAGACTGCTGATTCTTGGGCATACAATTTCCAAATCATGTTCTGTCATTACTGAGAAAATGTATTTGTGTATACGCCAACTCAGATCTATTTAGAAAAATATGTTTTAAGTAGCCACAAAGCAAGCTAGCTATATAGAACATTTTGCAGATGCTGTAGGGGAAAAGTAAACCAAAAGAGACTTCTATGTGAAATTTGATAGGAAATAGTGTTTCTCCATTTTTCAGAGATTTAGGAGGAGAAAGGTAATTCCTAGTGTTTTAAGCTCTGAAATATTTTTCTTATAATAATTAACGCTGTATTAAAATATCCAGACATATAGGTATCATTCAAAATGAATGGCAATTTATTAATAAACAAACAATGAATATGTTCAACAAAAAGAAAGAAAAGATGATAGAATAAGATTAATACAGTTTCCCTTTTTATAATGAAAAAAAGGCACAATGTAAGTTTCAGGAAATTTAACGTCAGGTTTTGGAAACACTTTCTGGCGTTTGGTCCACGACATCCAACTACAAATTAAAAATAAATTACTATGTTGAAATTTACATTTAAAAACAAGTCCATGAATAAAAAGAAAGCGATTTTCATATATGGGGACTTTTCCCCTCCTTTCAACATAGGATAAAATAATATCTTACAGGTGAGAGGTGAGGGAAGGAAAGGGCAAGGGCATGGGAGAGAGGAGGAAAAGGAAAGCGTGCTCTCTTAAAAGCAAGAAGAAACTTACGTGTTATCTGCAGTAACACTGTCCTTTAATAAACCATGATTTTGCTGTCTCTGTGTAAAATGGTTTATGGTTTTGTTTATTTAGATAAGGCAAAGTGGAGGTGGCTCTCAATTAATCTTTTAAGAAAATAGTTTTTTGTGTGCTGGTGAGTTGAACTTTTGGAGGGATTCTGTTCGCTGGTTTGGTGAATATTTTTCAAGATTTTTTAAATTGGATTTTTTTTTGGTTTCGATTTTGCATTGATGGTTCTTTTGGTTGTTCCTGTGCTGGGGTTCGATTCAGTTCGGCTTTGAGATGGGGGTGTCAAAACTTGCTACAGTCATAGACGAAAGCCCCGGATGTGCGGTACAGAGACTGGCTGGAAGGGAAGGCCATCTGACAGCTACTGTTCCCATTCACTGGAGAGTT